GGTGGGCAGTTGTTGACAGAGGCGAAGCTGTTGAAGACCAGCTTTTTGGTGTGTGTGGTTTTTTTTTTGTTTGTTTTTTTTTTTTCTTTTTAAACTCCCCCTAGAGATCATGGCTGATTCGGGTCAATATGGTTTTGTTTGCTGAAGTTAGATGGTGAAATCAGGTGCTTGGGAGAACATTCCCCATTTTCTTGCTGTTTTCCTGCTGTGTCCAGCCTCTCTTTGTAGGTGAACGTGACATACTGGACCAAAGGATTTGTCGTTGTTTGTTTGCAGCGGTTGCCTCAGTGGGGCACACGGCACACCTCAGCCATTCGTCTTCAGACCGAATTTGAGGACACTATTGTACTGGTGCAAAGTCTCAAATAAGTGAATAGCGTTTTGTCGCTGCGAATGTCTCCATGTCACCCCAGTTTTGCCATCCTTAAAACCAGTAAAACTTCTTAACAAAAACTGCAACTGAGCAGACCTTATTTCTTGAACACTGGTAATTCTAGTAGCTGAGAACACTGTGATCTTAAGCTGCGTTGCATGAAGAAATAGAGAAATAGGTGTAGGGCTGTGCCTTGATGCTACCATTTGCACAGGCTGGACAACTTTAAGTCCAAACAATCTAATAATTAAAAAAAAGCCCAGTACCTTTTTTTTTTTTAAACGTAATTTTATGGTTGTATCATAAAATTATGGTGTTGCATTGTATCATAATGTATTTAAGGCTTATGATTACCTGGAAGCAACTCTTCTAATTTTCCACTAGGTTATAAAAGAAAGTACGTTTTCAAAAGCTAAATTGACACTATCAGGTGAAATGCTAATGTTGGAATTCAAAATGTCTGATCACAGTACCTTTACCATACTTATATTATTTCCATTGCAGTTTCACTGTTGTATTAAACAAGTGGGCTTATTAATTATTTCAGCTATTTAGCTATGATCAGCTATTGGAAAGACTTTGAAGTACCAGTGGTTATAGGAGGCACCTTTCAAAATAACACTTTCTTTCCCTGTTCAAAGACCAATATTGTTGGCATTACAGTATTACATATTGTTGGCAATACAGTAAGCTTTTGCCTTGTGAAGATGTATTGTTTCTAGCTGTGGAAGAATACTGGAAAGTGATGTTTTGTCAGATGGATGATTTATAGCAAGAGTTACTAGTGATACTGTTTACATTTTTCTTGGACCAGCTTTGTCATGTTCCTGCATTTCACTTTTTTTGAGCAGCAAACTGTGTTTCTAATGTTAGCTCACAGAAGCTATCCTGGTTGCGGTTGCATTGGTACAATGTCTTATAGGTGAAGTATGTAGTGAGTGAACTTCTCCATGGGGTATAGTAGACCTTCAGGTGATCGTTGTTCTACTTATCACACCATGCACAAACGTTTTCCTATTCTGTAAAATGCATGATGACACTTGCCATTATCAGTTCTTTTCACAGTCAGTACTGAGGTGTTTTGGAGAATTGTAAGTACACAAATGATACTTGTATTTGGCTCATATGATTGCTCTGAAAGTCAGCATTTAGTGTATGACAAGCATTACAGGTAGAAATAATTTTTGGCTAGCAAAAGGTTGAGCACATAACATAGCATTAGGTATTCATTTTTCTGTGGAAGAGATCGATTGGGGAAATTAATTAAATGTGTATTTTTGCATTTTGTGGAAGCTGAAGTAATTTCTGTGTAATTTATAAAGACTTTGCCTTTAAAAGTGCTGCATAAACTGTTCTAAATGAAAGTGTGCTGGAAATTTTCTCAGACACAAAATGGCTGGGGAAGTCTTTGACAAAGACAGCTAGGATTCAGTTACTCAGAAGTCATTTTAGGGGAGTAGACACTTGTAATTCTTCTCAGATGTTTTGCTTTATTTCAGCCAGATTTTTCAGTTTTCCTGCAACAGACCCAGACTTGTTTGTTCTGAGGGAATCTTTCATCCCAGCCTTTTGTCCCAAACTCAGAGAGACCCTATGTTTCTTTACAGCTCTAATGTGAGGCACTTGCTTTCTGTCCTCCTACAGTCTTTTTAGTATCCCAGAAAAAAATGAGAAGTGTAACAGGAGAGTCCTTTTTTTTTTTTTTTAAGCTGTAAAGTTATTTTTTTTGTTAATTTACTAGGTGTCTTCAGGTTGAATTCCGTACTGAAAGGAAGTTCACTGAGGAATTGTGATCCTTTCAGTGCTGACCTGCAAAGATCTGATTACTGGACTCCAACATTACTTGTCTTGTGTGACAAATAAAAGTCCCTGAAAGCACGAGCTAAATGATCATCCACTGCACAACTTACTTCATTGTTCCCACATTATTTTCTACCATTCAGAGTCTGAAAAGTGCTCTGTTTAGAAAACAAGCTTTCTGGGACCAGTACTGCCACTCACTGTATTTTCACCTTGCGCCGTAAAACTGGATAGCTTTCTGTAATGTATCTAGTCTCTTGGCAAGCAATGGCAGATGCTAGTGGCCCTGCAGCTTGGCGTTCTATCAGAGCCAATTTAAGTGATGAAGAAAATTACTGCTTTGTTGGAGAGTTTGTGTAATTAATTTCCTTTGCACAGTGTGTAAGAATAGTTATTCTGGGGCAGACCCAGGGTGCATCCAGTCCAGGATCTTGTTTCCATTAGCAGCTGTTAGTGGACAAACCCTGTGAAAGAGCTTGACTCAGGACTGTCAAGTAAACCATATGTGCAGATGCTTTTCAGATCATGTTTTGAACATTTGCATTGGCTTGTGAGGAGGTGATTCTGCCTCAGGAATTTGTTAGAATTGGACTTCTGATTATTTTGCTGTTTGCCAGAGACCTCCCCAAAGACATGGTATCACAAAAATGGTTATGTATACAAAAGTGATAGCAGTATTACTTATACTGCTATCACAGAAAAGGGCTAACTTGTAACTGTTACTGGATTTATGCTTAGCAGTATTCGTTATGTACAAAAGCATGTATTGTGGTACCATCCAGTATTGCAGTGTTTCAGACGTCTCAGCCAAGGGATGAGGAGGGTGTTGGAGCACTCTCTGCTGCAACTCCATGTCCCTCACAGTGTTTTTCAGCCTCTTGTAGCTCCCCTGCTGCTTCAGGTCAGTCTGATTTCATGAGTCGATGAGGAGCTGCTTGCTAGAGGGTTTTGTCACCGAGATGGCGGCTGAAGTGGCAGTAATGCTGGGACAGCTGCCCCCTCTGGTGCTTCTCTCCCTTTGCCCCCGTGTTTTCAGTCTGCTCTAGTCAGGCAGGTGAAGGCAAAGGAAAGCACTGCTGTGGAGCAGGGGAGGAGGGAAGGAGACAGGAGCGAGCCCCTCTAGCTCTCCTGAGGGGAGCATGGGGTAGGCAGGTAGTGCTGCTGAGCTGTAGGCGCAGGAGGAGGGTACTGGCGAAGAGAGAGTCGAGGCAATGGCAGAGCAAGGCACGGACTAGTGTTTCGCCTATAAGTGATGAAGTTCTGCCCTGTTGCCTTTCTGTGCTGAAAGAGCAAGCTAGCCTCACAGCACCCTCTGGCGAGTCCTGCGATGGAGTAAATAGAGGATCAGAAGGCACAGCCTGTATCATGAGATCCTGTCCCTCACAGTTAATGCAATGATATAATGTAATCTAATCAGCAGATTTATAAATGACATATATTTATATGTGTGTGTATATATATATATATATATATATATTCAGCAACTCTGAGAAGGTGATTCTTAAGGTTATTCAAAAGCTGCTTTCTGACTCAGCTAACACTGTCAATCACAAAAGAGCTTGGTGGGTTATAAAGTTGCACATTAAAGGAGTGTAGGTTTAACCCGGGCTGAAAGCACCTTAACTGCAGAATGCAATTGCAAATGTTAAAAGGGTATTTACATGCAAATAGAATTACAAGTGCCCATTGTGAGAAATGCAGAAATAAAAGGAACTGTTTACAGAGAAAATCCAATGAGCTGGATGTGTATTTGACCTCATGCACTGGAAGCTGCCTTAGAAAATACTCTTAGAGATGCCGCGTTTTGGAGTGTAATTATTAATTAGTTTGTGGTGTCGGCATGTGTGCATATTCCTGAGAAACATCCCAACTTTCCCAAAAGGGTAGAAGGTGAATCTTCAATATTCAAAATGGATATCTACTTAGAGCTTTACTTTGATACTGCACTTCTTCCTGCAGGTTATAGTATACTGAAGAATAGGGAAATACTTTAGCTACAGTCATTTTACATATTATTTGTAGTGCTTATGGTGGGCAAACTACTTCATAAACAAAGTACGGAATAATACTCATGTTAGCAGGTCTTTTGTTAGCACAGTATTGTCTGCAGCAGTCCTTGGGTGGGAATCAGATCTAGAAGAGGTCCAAGAGGCTGTCAAGGCAGATGTCAAACAAAAAGCTATGTACATGCTTTCATTCCTCACTCCTCCACCCCTCACCAGTAAGGTATAAAGAACAATTAGTGTTTGCATTTCTGCAGAGTGATCTTGGTTAGAGTAGAGCAGCAGCTCTATGTAGCTAGAGCAGAAACTAAGTCTTCAAAAAGCATCACTAGGTCTCTAAAAGCTATGTTATGGGTTAGACTGTGAGGAGCTGCAGAACGCAGTTGTAGTGCAGAAAATGGCTAATACTCTGCAGATGAGAAAGATTTGAGGTAGTTATGGCTGGCTGGCTTTCAGTCATAGACTCTGTTTCAGGATAACTCCTTGAACTAGCAAATGCAACTGCTCTTTCACTTTTGCTTAGATCCTTTCTTCAGCTCTGTTTGGCGAAGTGTCAGTGCAGGCTGCTGGATTGCTGATAATCCTCAGAGTTTAGAGAAACTCATAGATGCTTCTGGTGACATAATACGAAAAAAATTGCTGTTTGAATGAGGCAGATTTTATGTATGAAGAATGGCCATGCTGAATTAAAAGTTTATCTGCTTTTGTGCCTGACTGTAGCGAGTAGTGGACTACTAGGGAAAAAAATTAGATAATACAGGAAATGTGATTTCTCCTAGTATACCTCTCAGATGCAGACAGATACCTTGGGCCATCTACAGTTTAGGGAATTGCTAGGCCTCATCTTTTCATTTAGCTGTCCTTCAGAGGCTCTCCTTCCATTACTTACTTTAAATTAATGTAGTCATTTGTTGAATTCTTGTGTACTCTTGCTGCCACAGCATTTTGAGGCACAGTTTCACATTTTTATGCAGTGTACAAAAAGGTTTTGTCATGAGTGATCATTTAATTGAATTCTCCCAATTTTCCTCTTTTGAGCAGTCATGAGAGTGTTTTTGTAGTTGCTGTCTCCAGGTCCATTGTGATTTTCCTGTCCAGGGAGCCGTTCTTCCAGGCTGAGGAGTGATGGCCGCTTCTGTGTTCCTTTTACAGAAGTCATTGACTGTCCCTGTGCTTGATCTTCACACCTTACTGTATTCTGCTATATTTTCTTGAATTATCCTGGGCAATTAGCACACAAAATATGCTGCTCTAAAAAAAATAATTGGTCCCATATGGAGTCAGGACTCACTGGGATCGCAATCGGGAGATCTTGGAGCTACACAGGGGCCCAGTAATTCCATAGTAAACATTTCATGGTTTAGTGCAGTGCCAAGGTATCACTTTATAGACCAGACTACACTTGTCATTCTTCAGTTCCCTTTAAAGTACAGCTTTCATATTGGTTGTGCAGCAAAACCAAAAGCCAACTTGCAATATATTTGGTTCACGGACATCACAACCCCCATCCCACTGCCAGAAGTTTGTGGCACATTTGTTTGCTGTCCAGACACTGTTGCCAGAGCGGAAGGGGGACACTGGGCTATTTTTTTTTTTCTGGGCTATTTTTTCCCACAGTTGTCTGCCTGAATATAGTAGTAGCTATTTGAGTGACTATATTGACATCTGAGTCCTGTGAAAAGGTATGCTCTTTTTGTGGCTTTGAATTTGCTTATGAACCTGGCCCTGAAAAACAAGGTTATTTATGAGCATTCTGTTATACTTGTTATGTTACTATCCTCTCAGATAGGAATATGGAAGTACACCTATGGGGTTTTTTTGTTCCGTTTTGCTATTAAAAAAAAAAAAAGGCATCTTGAAGTGAAAACAATAAAGGTTACTGTATAGGGAAGCTGGTGAATTATGGGCTGGATAAGTGGTCAGTGAGGTGAATTGAAAACTAGCGGAAGTCCGGGCCCACAGGTTGGTGGTCAGTGGAACGAAGTCTAGTGGAAGGCCAGTAACTAGTGGTGTACCCCAGGGGTCAGTACAGGATCCAGTCATTAATGATCTGGACGATGGGGAAGAGTATACCCTCAGCAAGTTTGCTGATGATAGGAAACTTGGAGGAGAGGCTGATAGTGGGAGATCTTATCAATGTTTATAAATAGCTGAAGGGAGACTATAAAGAAGATGGAACCAGGCTGTTTTCAGTGGTGCCCAGTGACAAGACCAGAGTCAGTGGGCCCAAATGAAAACACAGGAGATTCCCTCTGAATATCAGGAAACACTTTTTTACTGTATGGGTGATGGAGCACTGACAGGTTGCCCAGAGAGGTTGTGGAATCTCCCACCTCAGAAACTGTCAGGACATGGTCCTGGGTAACTGGCTGTAGGTGCTTTGTCAGAGAGGGGTTGGACCAAATGACATAGACAAGCTCCCTGTCAACCTCAAACATTCTGTGATTCCGTGAGACAAAACAGGGTCCTTTAATTGCTATTTGGAAATTACAAAAGAATTGTACCAGCTTCATGAGAAAAATGTGGGGGTGTTTTTTAGTTGTGCACAGAAGTTGTGCAGGTTTATCCCTTTCACTGTTCATTTGTATTTTATAAGCTTGGCACTTAGCTATGTGCCTCTGTAATGCGAACAGTCACCCAGTAGTGACCCTGCTTGAGAGACTGATCACAGGGGAGGCCTAGCATGGCTTTACCTGAAAAATCCATGTAAACGATTTTGTGGCATGATTACACAGTAGGTGGTCAAAAGGTATAATACTGATTAATTTGAAGACCTGTGTGGATGGCTCAAGCTGTGTTCTGTTGCCAACCGAGGTCTGGAACTCCCCCACTCTCTTTTAACTTCTATGCCTTTTTGTTCCCTACCTTCTTTCAGCTCCACTGCTCTTCTGTGCTGTGCTGAGTTGTTTTGGTGCTAAAGAGCCAGGTGAAGAAAAATGAGGGGGTTGCTTTCTTCCAGGCTAGCAGACTGAAATGGCTTGACAGAGCGTCTGATAAGCATTAGGACTATACAAGGCAGGCTTAGAGGGCCATGGGTTTCATCCCAGGAGGTGCTATTGCAATCATATGTTATAGATACTTGCTCAGAGTTGATGAGAATGTGACTGTCATGGTTTGAACTCAGCTGGTAGCCAGTCACCACACAGCCAGTTGCTTACTTTTTACCCCCCATCCCCAGTGAAATAGGGAAGGGACAATAAAAGGATAATTCATAGGTTGAATTAAAAAAAGCCATTTTAGTAATAGTAACAAAACAACAGTAACTATAGGAAATCCAAACAGGCAATACACAATGTGGTTGCTCACCACCCGGCGATCAATATACAGCCCGTCCCCAGCAGCAATCTAGACGGCACCAAAGATCCCACCCTGATGACTAGAGATGGAACTGAGAGAGCACATGCCTCCTTTATGTGTTGAGCATAACATCACATTTGCCTTACTCTCCTTACAAGATACTGTATGATACCAAAGGGAGATGCTTTTATTGACTCCTTTTCCCTACTTTTTCCTACTTTCCTTTTTCATATTTCTCCTGTTTTTCTTGGCTTAAACCCCAAAGTTTAGTAGCAAAATTGTGTTCATTTAAGATAGAATGCATTTCTTTATATTGTGAAGAGACATTAAAGCAGTGGAAGGGGTCAAAACAGGCCATTTCTAATACCTCTTTCATTCACCATTTATTTCAGCTTTTGGTACTAATTAATAGTCTTTTTCATGTTTTAATAGGCTAGCACTAAGAATGTAATGCTTTTATTAGGGCAAATGAGCATGTATCTGTATTCATTAGGTCTGCATGGTTTACTTTCAAGAGCCCAAAGTGTGTTGATATGTGTACCTTTCATGTAACAAGAAAAAAATTGTCTAAATGCAGGTAGGTAGGAAATGCTTATATGTAAAACTCTGGATGATCTTCATACATGAGACTTTCCTAATACTGCACCTGACTGTTTACAGGTAGAATCTGCAAAAGTGAGAGCACAAAGGAATAGGTGCCAAAAACCTCTAGTAAAACATTGTGAGGAATGCATGTGGCTTGAACTTTGACTTCAAAGTAAAACAGAAGTCCACTTGGGGTCGACATGCCTAAAATTTTCCAGGAGTTACATGCAGACTAATTCTAACTCACAAATGGATAATTCTGTAAATGCAAACTCAAGGTATTCAGTCATGGTGTGTATGCACTCCAGCCCAAAGACACACACATCAGCTGCTTTTTTGTGTTTTTTTAAATAAGAGGGTTGTGCACAAACATCAATTAGTGTAGCACCCTGCCATCACTTCAGGGTACAGTGCTCGAATTAGTTAAGATGATTTTTATTTCTGTAGCCACAGGTACTGATGTTCCTGTCTACTCCTTTTAAGGGATAGAAGCCCTTGTAAATGTTAGACTGAAGTGGAAATACAGTGGAGTGAATCAGAAAGGGTTTTTACCCTCAGCAGTGTTTAGCAGAATTCAAGATGAAGGTTTTGTGTATTTTGTAGATTTTTTTTTTTTCCCCCAACAGTTGAGCTGCATCAACCCAAGTTTTCCTTCAGCATCAAACGTTTGCTCCAAGCTTATTTCTGCTGTGATCTTGCTGTCATGCATTACTTTCTTTCAGTTTCCAACAGCTGTCACCTGCAGATGATCCTCTCCCAGTGCCACTGATTAAGAAAGTAAATAGTGCCAAATACATACATGCGTATTTGAAGAAAAGTTTTACTACTGCAGGAGTTTTTGTGTAAGTTATATCATTACTGTGCCACAGGAGCAATGGTTCACCAGTGTTTTCCTTCTCTTTTTCAGCTTTTTAAATTGCTTTTCCTCGGTGAGAATGGCAAGGATTCGGATTCCTAGCACAATCGTTATACTTTTTGTTATGGTTCAGACTGGATTCTTACTCTTCATGTATGCTCGGTACAGTAGCTTCATGCCTCGGTCTGAGGAGAAACCATCTCAAGTCCACATCCTCATTCTCTCCTCCTGGCGGTCAGGATCTTCTTTTGTCGGTCAACTTTTCAGCCAGCACCCCAGTGTCTTCTACCTGATGGAGCCCGCATGGCATGTGTGGGTTACGATGTACCAGAACAGTGCTAAGGTCTTGCACATGGCAGTGCGGGACCTAGTCAGGTCGGTCTTTCTGTGTGACATGTCTGTATTTGATGCTTACATGCCTTGGAAAAGAAACTTATCCGATCTTTTCCAGTGGGCAGTGAGTCGGGCTCTGTGTTCAGCTCCTGCTTGTGACTCCTTTCAACGTACTGACATAACCAGTGAAATGGCATGCAAGACTCTTTGTGGACGGTACCCCTTCAGCAAGGTGGAGGAAGCCTGTAAAACTTATAGCCATGTTGTCATCAAGGAGGTTCGATTCTTTGACTTGAAGGTCCTCTACCCCCTTCTCACCGATCCATCCCTGAATCTCAAAATTATCCACTTGGTCCGTGACCCCAGGGCAGTCGTCAAGTCACGGGAACAATCGGTCAAAGCCTTAGCCCGTGACAATGGAATTGTTTTGAGTACCAATGGCACTAAAGTGGAAGATAGCAAATACAAAGTAATGCAAGAGATTTGTAGAAGTCATGTTCAGATTTATGAAACAGCTACCCTAAAACCACCTAATTTCCTTAAAGATCGCTATTTAATGATCCGTTTTGAAGATCTGGTCAGAGACCCATTATCAGAAATCTCTGAAATGTATAAATTTGCAGATCTTAGTTTGACCCCTGTGCTCAAAAGCTGGATCTATAATATCACACATGGACAGGGACCAGGAAAAAAAAAAGAAGCCTTCAAAATCACATCTCGAGATGCAGTTAGTGTTTCACAGGCCTGGAGAAATGTTCTTTCCTTCCAGAAAATAAAGAAAATACAGGAAGTTTGCAGAGGTGCTATAAACATGCTTGGCTATCAGCTGGTGGATTCAGAAAAAGAACAGAGAGATCTGTCATTGGACTTAGTGTTGCCAAGACGACAAAATCAATTCAGTTGGTCATCATTTAATCCAAAGCACTGAGACATCATTTTTGAGAGATCTGGAGGGGGTTGGAGGGTTGTTGGTGGTGTAGATGGTTGAGTATTTGCCTACTGTGCAGCATATAGGTAATTATAAAATCCTTGGCTGATGAGTTTAGCCGTCTTCCTGTCTGCTGTTTTTCCATAATGGGAGGAGGATTTTTTCTGAGTTTCTTACACCACAAAACCAAAAAAAAAAGCATGAGAAATGCCATGAGATACTCGTCAGATTGCAAATTTACAAATCAGCTGTGCTGTTCTCAATATTATTTTAAAAATATAATTTAAGTACTTTCTATTAAAAGATGAATTGTCAAAAATGTCTTTGTTCATTGATAATAGTTCACTTGTCATGCTTTAAATATTTAAGAATCTCAGTTCTTAACTTGTATGAATAGAACAAAGTAGAAACTAAATTCCTTCACTTTCTTCCTGAATTGCTCGACTTTCTTCTTTTGCTTTAAAGTTTTTGTGCAGTTGTGTGTATTTTTAGACTTCTCTTGATGTTTCAAATTTTAACACAGAAGTTCTCAAAGAGCGGAGCTACCGCAACAGTTCTGTTGTAAAAGGCTGAAGCAGAAACTTCATTTGTTGATAGAGTTCTTAGTGTTTTCCCTGGAATGGCCAAGTTTGCAATCAGATCCTTGAATGCTGTGTTGGCATGGAGTACACAAAGCAAAAGAGGAGAAGAAACTTTGAGTGGAATCACTGTGGAAATAATTGCTACTAATGGCAAGTGTTATTTGAAAAGAAAGGCACTAATGCATTGCTCTTCCCTCTTACATGTTCTTCCAAGAAGGCAGTTTGAGATGCTTGTGGAAAGCGTATCTGTTGAGGACTCCGGTGGTGCTAACGGAGCAGCAACTACCCTACTGCTGGCAGAAGGCTCTCCAAGTTAACCAGCAGTCTCTTTGCAAATAAACAGATGCCCACAGACACCAATCTATACTAAAAGCTTGTAGAACTTAGGCTAGATAGGACTTTGACCATAAATAAAATACTTTTGTCTTTTTGCCTTGATTTTGGACACGAGAAACAAAAGAATATATTGCGTTTCCACGAAGCAGCACAGACTGGTAATGTTTGACTTCTTGACACCTGTGGGTGCCTATTCTGTATGTAATCTTGTCCCTTCAGAGTGGTGGCTGACAAATTCTATATCATCTCCTTTTCTAAATAGCAGCTGAATCATCTTCTCGCTTCAGAAGAAGGAAATTCTCTTGTACCTATTTTTTCTCCCCTCACAGTAAAAAGCACACAACTGATAATCTCACTGTCTTGTTTTTTTTTGTTTTTTTTTTTTTTTTTTTTTTTTTTTTTTTTTTTAAACTCCTACTGTTAAATTACACCCTGCCTAGACAAATATGTAACAAATATTGTGTGGAGGGTTAAGTCCATATAAGCACTATGCTCTAAACCAGACAAATGCCAACTATTGTCTTAAGGAAAAAAAGTTACTGGATCTTATGTTTACAGAGATGGGATGTCAGAGGGGAACAGCAGGTGTAATGTGTCACCAGAAAATTGCAGGAGAGTCAAAATCATCTTAAAAGCCTAAAAGCTAAAGATCTCTCTTGGTTTTGACTGGCAGACTGGGTTTTGCTTAATGGAACCTTTCACGTAACGGTTGCCATAGTCCGCAGAAGAAAATGGTGATCGGGTAAGAGCTGCCAAAGGTGTTTGAGAAGTGATGTGTTGTCCTCCTCAAGAAGAATTACTGTTGCAGAATTTTTACAAGTGCGCCAGGTTAGCAGCAGGAAACGTTGACCTTTGGGGATGGGAAGTGGACCTGAGCGATCGAGCAGTTACAGAAGGGACATTGAGCTTACACACACTATAGTCCCGTTTGTAGAACATCTGATCTGCCAGTAGATCCCAGCTGGGAGCTGCCATGGGTTTACAGATCACTTTTGTATCATCTTTATACTTGTAAAGCAATTGCACCAGATTTTACGGTTGAAGAATGCGTCTCGGCCGCTGTTCAGGTAGTATCAGTCATGACAGTCTGCAGGAAGAGAGCCAGGCCTTCTTGAGGGTAAGTGATCTGCAGAGACTATGAGTATACTAGCTACTGTTTCTAGTAGTATTATTCCTTTCATTATAATTGTGAAGTTTCATGCTGTGTAGGCTTAACAGTAACAGGTCTGGTATCTGTGCTCATGTATCATCCTACCTTCTGTCTGTCAAACGATGTGGTGGAGGTTGAATTGCAGATCACAAACTGTGGTCGCGGCACCTAGGATGCAAACCAGCTAATACGGGTAACACGGTAATACAGACTCAGCAGACTCAGCCTTGCTATCAGCTCTGTGAAGACAAAACCAGGCCACAGTTAGACTGTCAACCAGTGTGAAAAGCAGAACACAGCTTGGAGGCAGGGAACTTCTGGAAACGGAGCCTTCTCGAAAGCATTTAATGTGTTGGCTAACATGGCAAATTACCGCATGCAGGTGTGGGGCAGAGACGCCAACTAAAATCAGGGCCCTGTGTGTGTCAGGGTGCTGTACAAACGCCAGCTGGGACACTGGACAACTTGGAGCGGGGAAAAAGAGGAAGTGACCTGACCTTGGTTCCCACGTTCAGGTGAGTGACAGGGCCAGGACTCGCTGTCTGTTAGCACCTGATCTCTGGTACTGTCTGCTAGATGAGACTTCATCGGTTTGCTGAAGGATGGATGGATGATGGTTTATTGTTCCTTCTGTCCAGAGCAATCGCCTCAGCCTCGGTGTCTTTTGCAGTGCTTTTTCTGAGCTGTCATTATGCTCTTTATAGGCCTTTGGTCACTGACATATGACTGCTGCAGCATTTGCCACTGTCGTGGCTGTGTAATAATGTTCTGTGTTAGGGATAGGGGTTAGGGTTAGGGCCATTAGGGTTAGGGTGGGGTTAGGGTTAGGGGTTAGGGTTGGGTTTAGGGGTAGGGGGTTAGGTTAGG